GGTATTACCCTTCTTCGGGACTCACAGAAAGCTGCTTGGAGTCAAAATTGCCACTGATGGTTATTCATATATGAATAATTGCCCTTAGCCATTTTGCTTAGTTCCAAGCTTCAGGAAATTTCAACAATTCATTTTGTTTTTGGTGCTTGAATTGCGAATAGCACAGAATTTTAATTCTTTATGAGTAAACACACTTTAATATTTTATGCTAAACTTTTCATAGCAAATAAGCTGCAAGTTAGCTTGGTTTAGCCTGGTGCTCACAGGTCACATCTCCTATTCACACAGAGTCCTATCTTAACTTGGCTTGGGCATCAACCCCCCATTTCTCAATCTCACCATAAACGAAAACATCCTCACAGCACCCACCAGAATTTTAGATGTTTCAACAAGATCACCTCATTATTCTGCTATCAATGAGAATAGACCCGATTCGTTCAACCTTACCTCATAAGACAACCACTTGAATTGAATTGAATTTATTGTCACGTACTCAAAAGAAATATTTATAAGTTGCCACCTACAGCACCATTGCAGGTACACAATACCTGGGTACAAGCCTTAGTTACAGAATAGAGAAATGATGAAATAAAGAAGTTACGTTATAGCTTTACACAATGTGATCATAGGTCAGAAAAAACAAGAAGCAAGTTAAAAAGTCAAACATCCCAAGACTCTCCACAGCAGACCAGTGCAGGGGGCCTCCATGTAGTCTAACCACTGGCTGCCACTCCGCTCTGCACAGGGCCACTGGTCACAGGCATCCCCACTCCACTTATTATTAATCTATCACTGCTACCACTTTGTTAGGACATGTATGTAACAATCACAAAGAGACACAGGATGGCACAGAAATAACAAGGAAGATGTTCACAGTCAGACAAAAATGAAAATGTTTAGCTTTACCAGAATTCAAACATTTTCGGGAGTTAAGTACCGTGCAGAAAAAGGTTACAACAATGCCTTGTCCTATAATTGATAGGATCTGTAGAAAATCACAGACTGAAATCCTCTGTGGCAGAAGGACATGGACGATTTTGCTGTATCAAAGTCATGACACCTCCGCTTATATATATTGTCTAATCAACTTGTTCAGAGCTGTTATTAAACATTGTTGGAATAAGTGGGACTTGAAAGCAGGCCTCCTAGTCCAAGGTAGTGACTTCACAAGAGGTCCTCATACAGCCATGATTAAACATGTTATTTAACAGATGATATTGGCCATTACATGTTTATTGAAAGATTAGGCACTTTGTTCAGTTGGACTCATTTACTGTCACAATAAAATTCTTTCCTTTCACAGACAAATCTGTTTGAATGTAAACAGATTTACTTCATATCACATACGCATCTATGGCTACAACAACTGCAAAATAGAACCCATGGATAATCCATTTCAGAGGGACTTACTTTCTGTTTGCACTGTATTTTCCAGCTACAACCATCTAAATTTAGGAGAAGGAACTGATAATTGTGCGATTTAAAATCATCAAATTGCTCCTCAACAATCCAACTCTCAAACCCCTCCTTGCAACTCTGTTCATCTCTAACCTCCCCTTCCACTCAAGTTATTCAACATGCAATAGTCTTCCTTTAGGGAAGGAGTGGTAATGTCAGATGATTCATAATCCAGCACTCAATTCTTTGGGAGTGTGATTTCAACTCCCAACAAGGCAGTTGGTGGAATTTTAATTGAATTCATGAAAGTAGGACTTGAAAGCTAATTTTGCTGACCTATCATCAAGGTCATAAAAATCCATCTTGTTAACTAAGGTTCTTTAGGGAACAAAATCTGCCATCTTTACCGAATGTGGCCCACATGTGACTGCATGTCCTTACCACAGCAATGTGGTAAGGACAGCAGATCCCACCCCCCCACCACCACCGTGTAAAGAACATTAGTGAATTTGACAGGTTTTTATGATAATCTGGGAATTTAATAATTAATTAGACTGGCATTTTATTCCTGACTTATTAATTGAACTTAAATTCCAGGTGTCTTGATAGGATTTGAACTCGTAGGTAGGAATTTTCAAATGATGGGGTTTCCCAGCCCACCACCTGCAGAGTCAGTGAGTAACACATTCCCATTGAGACCAACTATTTCACAGCCAGTTAACGGTTGTGAATTCACTAGAAATGGGACTTGCGCTCCTCATTTGGGAGGAAGCTCCATTTCAGAGAGTTGCCAGCAATCTATTTGGCCGGAAGCTCAAGAGCATTAGCAATGCCAGCTGCAGAAGTTGGGACTGGGACTTCCAGTAGATTCAAAGTCCTTCCCCACACCACTACACCGCGACCCCCTCATAAAATTGAGGCTAGGTGGGAAATGGACCTTAAGTGTTCATTAATTGCCCATTTAAGGGCATCAGTTAGGTCAATTGACAGCCTGGCATCTGTATTAGCACTAAACTACCCATAACCATTACAAATCATATCCCACTATGAAAAAAGTAGACTATGCCTTATTCTCTTAGCCTGTCTGCAATCTTTGACATGACCACCCACACCATTCTTCTCCATCACATTTTCACTGGCATCCAGCTAGGTGGACTGCATTTGCTCTCTTCCATTCTTACATATCCAATTATAGCCAGAAAATCAGCCTCAAATGTTTCTCTTCTGTCTTCCACACCATTTCCTCTGTACCCCTCAAATATCTCACCTTGGTCCCCTTCTATTTCTCAACTACAAGTTATTCCTCAATGGTTTATTTAAAAACACACCATTGATTTCCACATCATTAATATCCAGGTTTATCATGTAACAGTAGTTGATGTCAGATTACTTGTCTGACATCAACTACTGGGCGAGCTGTGGGTTGACAAGTCTCCTGGTACTAATGGACTTCATCCTAAGGTCTTAAAAAAAGTGACCAACAAGGTTTAGATATATTGGCATCAACTTTTCCAAATTTCGCTGGATCGTGGAAAACTTCCATCAAATTGGAAAGAAGCAAATCATAGAATCCCTACTGTGTGGAAGCAGGCTATTCAGCCCATTGAATCTACACTGACTCTCTGAAGAGCATCCCACTCAAACCCACCCCTTATCCTATCCCTCTAAAACCTGCATTTCCCATGGCTAATCCACCTAGCCTGCACATCCCTGGGCACTGCAAACAATTTACCATGGCCATTCCACCTAACTTGCACATCTTTGGACTGTGGTAGGAAATCAGAGCAGCTGGAGGAAACTCACAGATATATGGAGAGAATATGCAAACTCTGCACAGACAGTCCCAGAGGCTGGAATCGAACCAGGTCCCTGGCTCTGTGAGACAGCAGTGCTAACCACTGAGCCTTCGTGCCACCCAAATATCACTCCTCTATTCAAGAAAGGATGGAGGCAGAAGAAAGGAACCTATAAGCCAGTTAGTCTGATGCTTGTCATGGGGAAGGGATTTGAATTGTTTATTAAGGAGTTATTGCTGGACACTGTTAATTGGAAGCGCCAGCATGCTTTTGTAAAAGCATTGTTGGCATACTGCATTTGGATCTCCAGAAGGCACCTGACAAGGTGCCATATAAAAAGTTATCATGTAAAGGAGGAGTTCAGGGTGTAGGGGTAACGTGAGCATGGATACAGGTTTGGTTGTCTGGCAAACAGAGTATTCATAAATGCATCTCTCTTGTTGGAAGGGTGTGACCAGTGGAGTCGCGCAATCGTTGTTTTGGGGTTTCAGCTCTTTACAATTTATATCAATGACTTAGATGCATGGATCAAAGGCAGGGTAGCTAAATTGGCATATGACTCAAAGACAGAGAGGAATACATGTTGTCAAGATGTGAAAACTTTGCAGGTGTAGATAAATTGAGTTAGCAAAAATTTGGCAGATTGATTATAATCTGGAAAAATGTAAAGTCACTCTCTTTGACAGGAAGAATCAAAAAGTTGAATATTACTTAAATAAGAACAATGACAGAATTCTGATATACAAAGGTATCTAGATATTTCAGTTTATTAGTCACTAAATGTTAGTAAACAAATAGTTGTTCAGTAGTACAGAGCTTGAGTATTGCAGACAAAAAAAGGCTTATTTTGTTGAAGTTTTTCATCTTGCAGTTATCAGGACCATTTTCAATTCAATGAATTGAAGGGTAAAATGTTTATACTGCACGAGAGTGCTGATTGGTTAGCCAATTGGACTCAGATTGGCGGATGCATTTCCATGGAGAATGTGTCATTTAATGATAATGACAGTTAACAGTCAGGCTTTGTCTTTTATTTTAAATTTGACAGGGCGATTGGTGAAGACATTGCCTTGAGAAGCAGCAAGTGGTCATAAACCATTCTTTTATGTTAAAACAGTCAGAGTGTGTACATGTTCTTACTGTCTACAAGAAACAGGATCCTGTGCATTAATTTACATACCTTTCAGCACACGCACAAGTCTGCTACTCTTTGACCCTGATCGACAACGTTAGTTGTCAGCATAATTCTTTGCACACTCAGTATTAGAGTCACAGAGTCACACAGCATGGAAACCGACCCTTTGGTATCGGCAAATGTCCAACTGCAGAACCACATTTAATGCTGGAAACTGGTGCTGTGAATTTTCATGTGATTCTGGTTGGGCACAAGTGCCTTGCTTGTTACGAACAGTCAAAACCAGTTACGCCTATCATACAAATGAATAAATTAGTATATGAATTTTGGTTCCGGTATGATGCCAGACATGTAGGCTGTAGGTGTCAAAGACTGATGGAACACAACAAAATGGCATATCCTTGTCTGTCATTGGTTCTTCGAGTTTCTGAAACATAAAGCAGGAATCTCTGCTTCCCAGTAACTTTGAATTAAGCCATGGATTTGAGGTCCTGATCTACAAATATTTTCTTCTTTAGTTGGCTGAAGACTGAGGTGGCAGTTAGAAACTGAAAATATGTGGGTGAAGAAGGGATTGATCACACAAATGAGGGGTATTTTACAAACCACATAAAAGTATAAAGGAATTAAGAAACATTTTCAAAACAAAAGGGAAATTTCAACTACTCAAATAAACTGGCAAGAAATTAATTTTATTGTACAGTGTACAGGAGGACTTTCTTACCCAGTATGCAAAAAAAAACCAAGAGCAATCACTCGGGCATTTAACAGTCAAAAGTGAATCAAAATGGATAGGAGAGGTAAACACGATATTTGGGCAATAATGATCACAACTTAATAAGGTTTACGATAGTGATTGAAAAAGATACAAGACAAAAAATAGATTTGAGCATGACAATGGAATTGGGCAAAATAAAGGAGAAAAATATTGACAAGCACAGAGACAGTAGAGCAGTGGAAAATATTGAACATGATGATTAATAGTGTTTATGAGAAATGCATTCCTCTAAAAACAAGACCATAAGGAATGATAAACCATGTATGAATAAAGAAATAACGCAGACTTCAAACTAAATGAAAGGTATCCTAATTGCATAAGTAAAGGAGGATGACAAAATGGAAATTTAAAAGTGGTGAGTAAAGAAGAAAAATAAACAAGGAAAATAATCGGGAATCATAAAATTAACTTTCGATGGATAAAAAAAGAGAGAAATATTCTACAGGCATTTCAACAGTAACAAAAGAAAACAGGATACAGATAGGGCACCAAGACACAAGTAAACTGACAGAAACTTACAGTGAAACGGCAGAAGTATCGAATAATTACTTTTCCTTAGTAACTAGCAGGGAGACTGACAGGGTGGACAGAGAGGTGAACACAAGTAATAAACTCATCAAAACAGGAGAAAATCCCCAGTTCAAGGATTATGGATCTGTAGTTACCTGTAACAATTAAAAGTAACATAATTTGCATAAAACTTGCCTGAAGTATAAAGAATGACTTTACATATTTACATATGAATTTACATATGAATTCCTTACCATTCAGGCAATGACGTTTTCTTTCTCTTAATCCCTTCATTTATAACTTCACTCTATACTTAACTCCACTTTGTATCAATGTGAAATATAAGAAAATCCACAGTTAAGGATTTTCCATAGTGTTTCTCCATGCCACTCTTCAATTGGTTAACAGTAGAGTGGTAGTCTACAATTATAATTAGTCCTAACAATCTAGGAATTGGAATATTCTAGAAATGTTCAAAGGAGGAAAATTTAGTTCAGTATTTCAACCGTGCAGTGCTCATATTTCACAACAATACAGCCTTCCTGACAGTGCCTCACCAGCAAAATTGGTGAAAGCCAAAAAAAATCAGAATGTAATGCCCATGCTTGATTGAGGGAATAGACATTTTGCATATATAAATAAGGATCCTAAGACCCATTTATATTCCCCAGATTATTTGGCATTGAAGGATCACAGAAGGTGAACTGTAACAGGAGTTTTGAACACACACGAATGGCTTAAAGATCATGAAGCAAGGATTCTTTATTCCACAGGTTATCAGGTCATTGTAAATATGAAGGAAGATTAAGGTTAAACATAGAGGTATTTACATGGAATAGCCTGTGAGTTACATTGCATTGAAGAATCCTTTGTTTGGCTACTCTTCCCATGAGCCTTCCTTCCCCCAGTGATACCCTTTTCTTTCCAAAGAGGGTTCATTCAACTGCTCCAGCTGCTCTCACTTGCTACTTATACTGGAGGTTTTTGTACAACTGAGCCTCTGCTTAAAGCCTTTCCTCACTGTGACTCCCTGCTGCTGGAGATCCCATTACACTGTATTTGTGTTCCTCTTCTTTTCTGATCTTATCATCCCTCTTTTCTGGGTGTCTCTTTCATCACTTACCCAATCAATACTGCTGATTTTTCAGAAAATTAACCTTCAATCCTCCTTAGCTGCTAAGCTACTTGTTCATATCCATATTTGCTCAATGCTTTTGATAGTAACATTGAAGGGCAGAGATATCTCCGTGTCCCCTGTAGATCTCTGCATGTCAAACTCTGTTTTATATATGGGTGTTATAATATTAATTAACTTTCTCACTCTGCCTCCCCTTCACCATGACCACCAAACAGACAGAAAAAGTCCCTTGAAGACTGCAATAAAACTGTTTTATTTCTGGAGTTTAAATATACAAATGCCCAAAATATCCATGTAAAACTTCCCGAGGATGTTAAATTAATGGAATACAGCCCACAATAGTGCATAGTCTGTGGAAGGAGTGGTCTTGAGACAACAAATGTCTTTTTTCTTGTTCCATGACTTCTTACCATGTTTCTAGGAGCAGCCTAGATGTGAGATCAAAGTTTCAGAACATGGAAATAATACCAAGATAAAGAAGTGCAGCGAGAAGAAATGAATCAGGAAGTAGTGGTTAGATAATATTATGCTTAGATTACCCATAATGTCAAAACCAATGAAAACTGGCAGTTTGGGCCCAGCAAATCTTGAAACCGTTGTACTGAAGAATATCAATGGTCCTTAGAGTGAAGAGAGAACAAATAAAGTATGATTACACCTCAGTTCTTAAATTAAATTCAAATTTGATCTGTTGCTGAATTTGTTTGATAGATTTATATTTGCTTTCACTCAGCAGAGTCCTTCTTTCCCCTGTCTCCATCATTCCAGTACTGCTCAGTCTGCATTTCTGTGAGCCGTGAGACTGTGCGCTGAAATGCAAATATTTCTTCTGCCCCAGAAAATATTGAAAGGTCTTCCAGTTTAGTCTATGAAGAAATAAAAGCAATTGGGTCAAAATTATTCAACAGCAATTTTTGCGCCATGAAGATCACAGCCATTCAGGCATCAAATGTAGTTCTGCAATTGCAACACACATTATCATTTCATAGTCGTAAATTTAACAAGTTGATAACATGTTAATGTCAATGGATTAAGAGCAGCAATGCAGACAATGGCCTAAACACCATGAGAATGATATTATTCCTTTAATATCCATCATAATGTTTCCAGTCTTGACACAGTTTACTATACTGATGTATATGTAATACAATATGTTGCCAATAAGAAGGCTGAACTGATGTGTAACTTAGGTCAAGTGTTGTAGTGAGGGGACTGAGTGGGGACAAAGGTTGTTGTTGCCTCCAATGGGCCTAAGGGCCCTGCAAAGAAGGACTCTCCTCCCACTTGCCTGATAACAGTCACACAGTTAAAACTTCCGGGCATTCTGTCTGGTGTCGGCCTTCCCCTTGGTGTGGGAAAAACACTGACGACAGCAAAATGAAGCACTTAAATGGCTGATCCTCTATCTCAACACTATACTCCTGCATTCTCTTCAAGGAGTTCCAAAGGTTTTCGATCGTCTGACAGAATAAATTCCTTCCTATCTCAGTCTTAAATTAGCGCCCCTTTATTTCGAGACTGTGCCCTCTAGTCCTAGACTCTCTCATGAGGGGAAACATCCTCTTGGCATTTACCCTGTCAAGGCCCTTTAGAATCCTACACGTTTCAATCAGATCACCTTCCAAACTCCAATGAGTAGAGTCCCAACCTGTTTAACCTTTGCTCATAAAACAATCTATTTATGCCAGTGAACCTGCTCCGAACTGCCTCCAATTAAATGATATCTTTTCTTAAATAATGGGACTAAAGCTGCTCATAGAACTGCCTACGTGCTCTCACCAGCACCTTGTACAGTTTCACTAAGAATTCCCTACTCCAACTCCCCTGAAATAAGGGCCAACTTTCCAATAGCCATCCTGATTACTTGCTGCATCTGTCTGCTCGCTTTCTGTGCTTCATGCCCAAGTACCCCCAAGTCCAATTATGTTGCAGCTTTTCTCCATTCAAATAATACTGTTCTTTTGTTTTCCCTTCCAAGATAAACAACTTCAATTTTCCTAAATTATACTCCATTTGCCAATGTTTTGCCCACTTACTTAGCCTATCACTAGCCTCCCTATAAACTGTTTATATCTATCTCACAACTTGCCTTTCCACCTATTCTTGTTTCAATGTGGCCATAGTGCATTCACTTGCTTCCTCCAAGTCATTAATATATATTGTAAAACAATTACAGTCCCAGGACAGATCCCTGTAGAGTCCCACTGGTTAAAGGTTGCCAACCTGAAAAAAAACCCTTATGCCCACTCACTGTTCTCTGCCCATCAGCCAATTCTATCTACACCAACGCATCCTATGTTATGACTTAACCTCTTGTGAGGCACCTTGTCAAATGCCTTCTAGAAATCCAAGCACAACCTCTATCCACTCTGGTTGCGACTTCCTTGAAAAACTCTAATAAATTAGTCAGATGTGATTTCCCTTTCATGAAGCCACATTGACATTGCTCAATTAGATTATGATTTTCTGAATATTCTGCTATTACTTCCTTAGTAATTGATTCTAACAACAGATGCTAGTCTAATAGGCTTGTAGCTACTTGCTTTTTTGCCTCCCTCACTTTTTGAACAGGGGTATCACATGTTGACAGTTTTCCCATTCTCTGGTACCTCTCCAGAATTCAAGGACTTCTGGAAAATTACCAACTAATACATCCACTGTCTCTGTAGCTACTTTTTTTTTTAGGATGTTTGGATGCAAGCCATTAGGGCCAGGGGACTTACATGCTTTATTCCCATTGGTTTGTCTAATACTACTTCTCTTGTGATGGTGATGGTACTTAATTCCTCCCCACATATTCTTTAGCATTCATTTTTATCAATCTATACTTGAACACATTGTGACCCGGCCTCATCAGCTGCTAGCAGTAGTGTATCCCATAAGTTCACTACCCTTTAGTTAAGAAACGTTTCCTTACCTCAGTCCTAAATGGCCTACTCACAATTCTGAGACTATGACCCTTGGTTCTACACTCCCCAATCAGGGGAAACATCATCCCTGCATCTGTCCAGACGTGTTAGAATTTTATACATTTTAATCAGATCCCAATCATCCTTGTAAATTCTAGTGAATTCAGGTTTAGCTGAACCAACCTCTCCTCGTGGGACGGTTCTGCCAACGCTGGTATCAACCTAGTGAACCTCCACTGCACTACTTCTATGGCAAGTATATCCTCTCTTAAGTAGGAAGACCAAACCTGCATGCAATATTCCAGGTGCAATCTCACCAAGGCCCTGAATTACTTTAATAAGGTATCTCTACTTCTTTTAAACTCAAATCCTTCTGCAATGAAGACCAGTATACACTACCATTTTAGACTCTAACATTTTCCCCATTGCTAATGTTAGGCTAACTGGTCTGTAATTCTGTGTTTTCCCTATCCCTACAATTTTAAATAGTGGGGTTACACTTACCACCCTCCAATCTGTAGGAAATGCTCCAGAGTCTATAGAATTTTGAAAGATGACCACCAATACATCCAATATTCCCAGGGTCATTTCTTGTAGTACTCAAAGATGCAGAGGACTGCGGGATTTGTCACCCTTTGATCCTGTTAATCTCTCTGTCTTCATTTTTTATGTTTACTAATACTGATTTGTGTCAACTCCTCCCTCTCATTTTGGGAAATTTGTGTCCTATTTTATGAAGACAGACCAAAATGCATGTTTTTTTTTTGCCATTGCTTTGTGTCTCAATCGTAATCTCTCCCATTTTGTACTGGAAGGGTCCTTCTTTTGTTTTTCCTAGCCTGTTTTTCAGCATGTATCAGTACAAGTTTTACACTCAGTTTCAATGTTCCCTGCAAGTTTACTCTCACTCCATGTCCCCCCCACTCTTGATCAATCTTTTTGTCCTCGTTTGCTGAATTCTAAACTACTCCCAGTCCTTGGGTTTGCTGCCTTTTCTGGCAATTTTATATGTCTCCTCTTTTAAAAAAAAATGAAATGCCATATTCTGTCTGCACAATTTGGCAAATTATCTGGTGTATTTGTAACTGAATTTTGGACCATGTATGAAAGTAATGACAAAACCACTTTACAACCAAAATGTAAATCAGTATTCAAAAGTCTGTTTTTTAATGTGACAGCCACCATTTTCTGACCCAATTATATTAGTGAGTGGATTTTCCCAGACTATAAAACTTCTGTGAAGCAGGAACACAGAGCAAGTAACGGGCTAGGGTTCTGACCTTAACAATCTTATGTCAAGAGGGTGAATGCCAATGGAGGCCAATTGCCTGCCCATAACAGAACCAGAACAATAGCACACAGCGATCCAAGAGAGGGAAATAAAATACAACTCACCTGTTCCAATCCTAGGTCATCTATGAAGACTCTGGCATCGTCTTCATGACTGTCGTGATCCTTCTGAACAAATATTCTCTCCAATGGCATTGCAGCTGAGCAAATAACCCTGACCTTTTAGAAAGTAAGAAAAATCACATGCTTTATAACTTAACAAAACTGGAAAGGCTGTATTAAATTTTAACACAAAGTTTACTCATATTTTGGAAACATGAACAGCACATGATGGATAATGACAAGTGAATGGACTATCCTCTAAAACTAAGTCTTTGTTCTCATCAGGAGTTCATTATGAAACATTCATAAGACTATGGCCCCCTATTTCTTCACTACCAACAGCAGTGGTTCATATTGTAAGATCATATAACATACACTATAAAATTATATATAAACCAATATATAGTATATCGTTCCATGAGCCATTTTTTGTGTGGTGTAAAATGGTCAGTGTCAGCAGGCCAGATTAGAGACCACACTAATGACAGAAAAATGTTTTTTTCAGGGAACAGGAAACAATAATTGTAGCTTTTACAATCAGTTACTTTATAGAACTGTTACCTGAATTTGTGCTAGAAGGATGGACTTCATTCAAGGGATTTGGATTAAAATCACAAAATGCAAGAACAATAACTTGAATGATTCAATGTGAAATTTGGGAGGTATCTTAAAAACTTTCATACACTTCTATTTGCACACATAAGCTGTTAGTTAACTGTCCTGGTCACATCATGCAATTGGAGCAAGCTCTTTACATTTGTGAGTCTTAAGGACTGTAAATGACCAGGGTTGAAATCACATCTTCAATCAACTCATCAAAAATTTTAATTTGAAATCGTGTTTCTAACATATTTCTTTGATTTCCTCTGCTAGATATATCTGTTCACAGAACTCTTATCTGACTGCTCCCACCCTGGCTGGGGACTGGTTCTAAGGCATGAAGATGTGGGAGATGGGTTTTCATGTATGGAATTAAATTCCCTGAAATGTATGTTGGAATCAACATCATTCTAATCCTAATCAAAGTAACTCTTCTGGATCATGCAGGCGAGAATGCAGCAAAATTGGGGACCACATCCTCTATGATTGGGTAAATAATTAAGATAATGAAAAAGAATAACTATAATCTTCAGCTCTGGAATTCTTAGCCAAGACACGGGTTTCTCCACCTTTCCACAACTTTCAGGGTCACCAAAGCAAAAGCAAAGTGGGAAGAGCTCCTTCAGTATAGCTTTGTTCAGACCTAGCTCTAGTGAAAAGTTTTTTTTTCCAAAGCACCTCTTCTTTCAGTATTAGCATGACTTGATAAGTGATTGCTAACTTCCTGGAAAGACATTTCATCCATCACTTGACTCACCTTCAGGTGCTCTCTCCTCCTGCCAGCCTTCAATACAGCATTTGCATGTCCCATCTCTGGGGAGAAGGCAAGAGCAGAAGAATACCACTTAGCACCAGCAGCCTTCTCCTCAGCCACATACCTCCATAGGACAGAGAAAATGGACATGGATTGCTATTCAGCTGGAAGGAGGTGAGACCAAAACAAAGGGTTTACAGGCTGCTCCCTCAACAAGTTTTTTTTTGTATTCAATCACGGGTTGTGGACATCGCTGGTTGGGTCAGCATTTATTGCCCATCCCTAGTTTCCCTTGAGAAGGTGGTGAGCTGTCAATTTCTGAGCACCAATGACCCAGATTCATACTTTTATAGCAAGTTGTCATTGGCATCTGTAGCCTCCTGAACAAGACATACATTGCCAGGGGTTGATAAAAGAGCCACTGGAGGGCCACCACATGTTATGCCCTTGCCAACTCACATGGACATTTCACTGTTGCCAAGTTATGCACTTGTTTTTCTGCAAGGGACAGAGAAATGTGAAGGTCTGTTAACTGTGTGGTGAAAAGGGAAGGATGATATTTATGGAGGGTGACTATGAAGCCTGGTTGCAAGAGGGCTTTAGGATAAGAGTTGGCTGTTCAGCCATTAAAATGTGCTTGGAGAGAGGGGAATGAGTGTAAGCAGAAGGTGTGTTGTTCAAAGGGTTGCTAGATAGGAAATTGCTGGGAAAGTCAGAGTATACAGCTAGCACCTGAAAGTCAGGAAAAAGCCAAGGAGTGGAAAAAGAGCAGGTGCAGACTAAATGAACTGAATCTTCAGTGTTGTACAATTCTATGAAGCACATGTTTAACAAATGTAAGTGTGAACAAAAATCTTTAATTCCGTAGGTGCAAAGATGAAACACATTATGATCTTTCATCAAAAGATCTAGTGTGATCTAAGCAAATCCAACCTTGTGATCATAAAAGGCATCGATGAGAGTGATGAAGCGTCGTGCTTGAGTCTTCTTTGCCAAAGTCAGTGTTGGTATGTTCCGAATGAATACAGTGTCAAAGTGTTTAGTCATTTCCAGGTAGTCACTTGCTCCAAGGGGCTGGAATTTAAAGTAGAACCAGATTTTAATATGAGCTCTAATTCTGGTGCTTGTTGGCTGCAGCTTTACTTTTGTTTTATTTTCAACAGTAAGTCCTGTTATTGAAACGAAATAAAGACAAGAAATGGAACAGTATGATATCCCTAAAAACCGAAAGAACTGCGGATGCTGTAAATCAGGAACAAAAACAAAGTTGCTGGAAAAGCTCAGCAGGTCTGGCAGCATCTGTGAAGGAAAAATCAGAGTTTACGTTTTGGGTCCGGTGACCCTTCCTCAGAACTTGTTCTGCTCTGAGGAAGGGTCACTGGACCTGAACCATTAACTCTGTTTTTTCCTTCACAGATGCTGCCAGACCTGCTGAGCTTTTCCAGCAACTTTGAGTATGATCCCATAATCTGCTCATTCCTATCCCCTGATGATAATGGAATAGTTTAGGTTAGATGGGCTTCAGATTGGTTTCACAGGTCGGCGCAACATCGAGGGCCGAAGGGCCTGTACTGCGCTGTAATGTTCTATGTTCTATGATCTGGGATAAGCTGATGCTTCTATTCTGTTTTAACGTCAGTGTCATTACACCTGTATGTTTTCTCCATACTCCTTCTCCATTTATTCAACTGAATCTCAATTTGATGTGACAAGTTTTCACATTGGAGCCAAATAGAGTAGCCAATGCACCATGCTTGTCCCAGAATGTCCATGAATGAATAACTGGATACAGCCATGAGCAACCCTAAAGAAAAATAACATTAAAATTCATTTTGGTTTCTTTGAACATGTTTATCAGTTATAAAAAATACTGTATATTTGGCAACAAAAAGACTATTTGCACCTGGGTGTGGCAGTTGAATCAAGTGATCATTTGGTGAACACAATGCATCAGAATCAGTAATCAAACTGATTGGGAATCACATTAAAACTGCTCAAATCAATTTCATTTATACACAGTAGATAGCCCCATCACCCTGAACTGGACTCAAAGACACATCCCAGGGTTGAAAGGACAGACCCCATTGGAGTGAACAATCCACTTTTGAATTCTGCATCTCAGCAGACAAAAAAAAACACTCCTCAGGAGCACTGAAAGTAACTACTACAGATATTGGAAATCTGAAATGAGTAAAGAATATGCTGGAAATACTCTAAGTCAGAGAAATGTGATGAGAAGTTTCAGGCATTGCCATTCAGACAGAATGAAAAAGATATTACAGATGACATCACAATCAGGGAAAGGGGACAAAAAGTTCTGAATGAACTGTAATATGATTACATGGTGAACATGATTACCCAACAGAAGTAACAGTGCAAGACAAAAGGAGACAGGATGAGAGAAATAAAGAAACATTTGAAACTCAGAATGCGGGGATAGTTTATCTTCCCAAACGCAGTGGGGGTGTGGTGAAGTCAGAGTACTCTGATATAATGGCTAAAAATGCAACTGCATTAGGTAATCTGTCTGAATACTATCTTAGATTGACATGGTGGCAAAGGACAGAAAATAAATGGGTGACAATTTGATAAAATTAATTTAAGATGTGATACAAGAGTATTTGAATCTCAGAAAGCTCACAACACATAACTATTAAATTGCAAGCACATCAATAATACTAAACATATCCAATATTCAGTGATCTGAGCAGATTTTCTGTGGCTTTCATTTTGATCATCTGAAACCCTATTGTGGTATTCCACTGTTGATACTGAAGATACTGGTAATCTGAAATAAAAACAGAAAATACTGGAGAAAGCATGCAAATTTGGCAGCATCTATGAGAAGAGAAACAGAGTTAGCGTTTCAAATCAGAAGTTCCAAAGATTCTTTGGATTCGAAACATTAACTCTGTTGCTCTCTCCACAGATGCTATCAAACTTCCTCAGTTTCTGCAGCATTTTCTGTTTTTACTGCAGTTGTATTTAACTTGATCTGTCCATTTAAGGCCATTGCTTAAATGATCCTTGGGAGGAAATAAACTGGATAGTATCTGCATAAACTGAATAGTACCTAATTTAGGTAACTAACTTCTCAAACAAAAAATCCATATTATTTTGACAAATTTCCATCACCGAGGCACTTGGGTGGGCGGTGTTATCTAGCAGCTTTCATTGTTACAGCTCCACAAATAACTTACTGAAGTCAATGTCACAATTTTTGCGAAATTAACTGTTCATCACCAAATCAGGCGGGACCCGTTCAAACATTGTTGGGCTTGGTCTCCAGTGCTTATTAGTGTTCTGAAGACCCAAAACTGCTTTCTGTCCACAGATACTGCCAGGCCTGCTGAGGCTCTCCATCAATTTCTGTTTTCGTTCCAGCATCTGCAGTTCTTTGTTGCTGTTTTGTTTTTCAAAAAAGGAAAGAGCTTGTTTGAATCCCTCTGATCGTGTTTCTGCACCCTTCAATGCACTGGTACCTAAAAAAGGTACAAATTACATTCATTGTGACTGAGACAAAGGTACCCACCATCCTTGTCCTGTTCATAATATTTGATATAGTTCACCACAAAAATTTTCTCCAGCACTTTTCCAGCCCCAAACAGCATGACAATGGTGGACTTGCCTGGTTTCATTCTGATCTATTCAGTCACAGAAAGCGAATCACCTGCAATTCCTTTTCTTCTTGTTCCTGCACTGTTATGCTGTGTTTTGTCCCAGGAATTTATCCTTTTCACCTCTTACTTCTCATCTACATGCTACCTCTTGGTGACATTATCTAAAATCAAGCCATTAGTTTCTGTCTGTACACTGAAGGCCCTTGTTCTTTCTATCTCACCTTCACCTCTTTTAACCCCTCCTCTGTCTCAAGTGCCGAAATTTCCTCCAATTAAATATTTGTTTTCAGTCCCCACTGCAAACTCCTCGCTCTAGCCATTGACATCACCCCTTTTCCTAGCAACTGTTTGAAGTTGAATCAGACTGTTTGCAATGTTGTTATTACACTTATCCCAAGGACACGCTTCCTACCACACACCCACACCAAGACTGTCTACTCCCATCTTCTTATCATTGTCACACGCTCAGCTTGTCTCAGCCCAAATGCATCCGACACCCTCTATAGATCATAGAGACATAGAGTAATACAGCATAGAGTAATACAGGCCTTTGGCCATGACTAGTCCATGCTGACCATGGTGCCCTCTCAAATAGTTCCAACTGACCGCATTTGGTCCATATCCCTCGAATTCCTTCCCATCCATATACCTATCCAAATGTCTTTTAAATGTTGTTATTGTTGCCTCAAACGCTTTGTCTGGCAGCCCATTCCATATACCCACCACTTGCTGTGTGAAGAAACTGCCCCTCAGATCCTTCTTAAAACTTTCCCTGTCACCTTAAACCTATGCCCTCTAGTTTTCAATTCCTCATCCCTGGGGAAAAAAGACTATATGCATTCATCCTATCTATGCCACTCATGATTTCTCAATAAGATCATCCCTCATTCTCCTACATTCCAAGGAATAAGGTCCTATCCTGGCCAACCTCTCCCTATAACTCAGGCCTACTAGTCCTGGCAACATCCTCGTAAATCTTCTTTGCACACTTTCCACTTTAACTATGTCTTTCTCACATCAGGGTGACCAAAACTGTACACAATACTTCAAGTGCAGCCTCACCAATGACTTATACAATTGTAACATAATGTCCTAATTCTTATACTCAATGCCTCAACCGATGAAGGCCAGCATACTAAATGCCTTCTTCGCTACCCTGTCCACCTGTGACACCGCTTTCAGCAAACTATGTACCTGTACTCCTAGGTCCCTCTGTTCCACAACACTCCTCAGGACCTTATCATTTACAGTACAAGTCCTACCCTGGTTTGACTTTCCAAAGTGCAACATCTCATACTTATCTGTATTGAATTGCATTTGCCAATCCTCAGCCCACTTCCCCTTCTGATCAAGATCCCTCTGTAATTTCTGATAACCTTCCTCGCTATCAACAATACCTTCTAATTTTGTATCGTCCACAAACTTACTAATCATGTCTTGTACATTCACATCCAGATCATTTATGTAAATAACAAATAACAAAGCACTGACCCCTGTGGCACACCACTAGTCACAGACCTCCAGTCTGAGAAACAACCTTCAACCATCACCCTCTGCTTCCTACCATCAAGCCCAATTTTGAATCCAATTAGCTAGCTCTCCCTGGATCCCATGCGACTAAACTTCATGACTAGCCTGCCATGTGGAACCTTACTAAAGTCCACATAGACAAGGGCCACTGCACTATCCTCATCCATCTTCTTGGTTACCTCTTCAAAAAAATCTGAAAAATTTGTCAGTCAAGAGTTACCGCACACAAATCCATGCTGACTATCCCTAATCAGACCTTGACTATGCAAACATTGGTTGATCCTGTCCCTCAGTATCCTCTCCAATAACTTGCCTACCACTGTTGTCTGGCTCACTGGCCTGTAGTTCTGCGGCTTGTCTTTGCTACCTTTCTTAAACAGTGGAACAACATTAGCCACCATCCAGTCTTCTGGAACTTCACCAGTGGCTGAAGATGAAGCAAAAATCTCTGCAAGTACCTCTGCAATTTCTTCCCCAGCCTCCCATAACATCCAAGGATGAACGTGATCAGGCCCAGGGGATTTATCCACCTTAATGCAATCTAAGGCTGCAAACACCTCCTCTCTGGTAATATGAATGTGTCCAAAACATCCTCACTTGTTTCCCTTATTTCCTTAGCATCCATGATTCTATCCTCAGTAAGCACTGAGGAGAAATATTCATTAAAAATCTCCCCCATCTCCTGTGGCTCCACACATAGACGGCCATGCTGATCTTTAAGGGGGCCTATTCTCTCCCTGGCCACCCTTTTACGCTTAATATAGCTATAGAATCTCTTGGGATTATCTTTAACCTTATCTGCCAGATCCATCTCATACCCCCTTTCCCTCTTAATATGCTCCTACACTTTTTATAGGCATTTAGGGATTCACTCGAGCCTGATTACTTAAACCCATTGTATGCCTTCTTTTTCCTGTCCAAGCT